TATATAGTTAGGAGGGTTGTTGTGTTATGGGTGGGGGGGGGGGGGGGGGGGGGGCGGGGGGGGGGGGGGAGTGGGAGGGGGTGGGGTTGGGGGCAGAAAAAAGGGGGAAAAATTTTTATTGAAAAGGTTTTCAAATACAAATTTTTCCCCCTTTTTGAAAACCTTTTCAATAAAAAAAAAAAAAAAAAAGTCTGCATACCACGGCCGTCTGGGCCAATAAGGGGCTAGGAGGATAAGCTCCGCTCCCTCGTCCAGAAGTTTCCGGATCACCCTGGGGATCATCGAAAGGAGAGGAAAGGCATACAGCAGACCGGCTGGCCACCAGCTGTGGAAGGCGTTCATGTCCTCGGCTCCGGGTTCCAGGTACCTGGTGAAATATCTGGGAACCGATGGTTGAGGGAGGAAGCAAAGAGGTCCACCAAAGGATATCCAAACCTGTCCGTTATCTCCTGAAATAGGTCCGGCGATATGGCCCATTCCCCCGATCCACCAGGTTCCGACTGAGGGCGTCTGCTTGGATGTTTGCAGAGCCCGAAATGTGAATTCAGGTGTGTTTCAGCCCATCATCCCAGAAGAAGGGCTTCCGCCATGAGGGCCCGGGAGTGTGTGCCCCCCAGTTTGTTGATATGGGCCTTGGCGGTGGTATTGTCCGTGAGGACCAGAATGTCCTTCCCCGCAACTTGATCCTGAAAGTGGAAAAGTGCCTGGCGAACGGCCCTCAACTCCAACAAGTTGATATTGAGGAGGTGCTCTTGTGCGGACCATTGACCTTGGGCCATGTGATGGAGTAGGTGGGCACCCCACCCAGTAAGGCTGGCACCGGTGGTGAGTTGGAGTCAAGGAGGTTCCCTGTAAGAAGAGCCCCAAGCTATGGTGGTCAAGGTCCACCACCGAAAGGATTGAAGTACCTGGCTTGGCAGTTGCAGACGGATGAGAGAGGTGTCATGTCTGGCCCTTTGGAAGGGCAGCAGGAGCCACTGAAGTTCCCTGCTATGTAAGCGAGACCACGGCGTGATGCCAAAGGTAGACACCATGTTGCCCAATAATCGGGACAGTTCGAGGACTGTCGCTGTACCAGTGGACAGGCATTTGTGTGCTAAGGAACTCAGGCTAGCCTGACGGTTGGGAAACCATGGATGATTCCATGTCAATAAGGGCCCCCAAATGCAAAATACGGGTGGAAGGGGAAAGATTGCTCTTGGGCCAATTAATAGAGAACTCGTGGTTCTGTAATGATGATACTATCGTGGAGAGGTCCCTATGTGCCTCAGAAAGGGAAGATGAAAGAATTAGAATGTCATCTAAATAAAATTGAATTTGGATAGAGTGAGAACGGAGATGACCGCTAAGAGTGGCCATAATCTTCGTAAACACCCTAGAGGCCGAGGAAAGGCCAAAGGGGAGGGCCTTATATTGGTAATGTTATCCCAGGAAAAAGAAACGGAGGAATTTACAATGGTCGGGCAATATGGGCACATGGAGATAAGCCTCCGTTAGGTCTATGGATGAAAGGAAATCCCCTGGGCGGAAAGATTCAAGGATGGAAGAAAGGGACTGCATCTTGAACCGGCAATAGATTATATACCGGTTCAAGGATTTGAGATCTAATATGGCATGCCACCCGCCCGAAGTCTTCTTGACAATGAAACGGCAGGAATAGAACCCCTGGCCCCGTTGGGAAAGGGGAATGGGCTGAATGGCCTCGATCTGGAGGAGGTGTTCAATGGCCGCCGAAACTAGTCCCCTTTTGGTTCTATCGTGCAATGCCGGGCATGAGATGAAATGAGAAGGAGGAAGGGAAAGAAATTCTAAGGTAAGGCCAGAGGAGATGGTGCGCAAGACCCAGGAATCCTCAGTAGAGGATTCCCATTGAGTGGAAAAAAGGGACAAGCAACCACCTATGGGAGGGGAGGGGGGAAGATTATCTGGGTCTTCTATAGGAACGGCCCCGGCCCCCACGTGGGAAACACTTGGGAGGAAACCTGGTGCCTTGCCTAACCTGAGATTCCTGGAGAGGTCTGGACATGAAGAGCCACTGAAAATGAGGCTGGAATGGCTGTGAATTGGAGAATCGAAAGGACTGATACCGTGCTGGAGTCAAATACTTGAGTCACCGCGTCTGGAGGCTGGAGGTAGGACCTTACGTCTATCCCTTGTCTCAACAAGGAGAGGATCCAACGAAGGACCGAAGAAGTTGCCAGCGGAATACAGAGCGGAAGCAAGTTACCATTTACTATGCATATCCTCTTGCCAATTGCAGAGCCACGGGAGCCGGCGAGAGGCCACGCTGGAACCGAGAGATCGTGTGGAGAATCAAGTGGCGTTGAGCGTTGCATCGGCCGAATATTCCAGAGCCGCTGAAATTTTATTTAGGTCTTGGTGAGACCTAGTGTCAGAGGGAGGTGAGCCTGGAGTTGTTTCAGCCAGAGTAGGGCTACCCTGTGCCACAACGAAGCCGATGTAGACGCCCTGATGGACTAGGCAGTAGCTAGATGGCCTTTAAGGAGCACCTTCTCTGCTCACTTGTCCTCCGGATGGAGCAAATCCTCGGTAGGACCCGTAGGATGGGAATTGTTGGTGAGGGCCACGATGGGAGGATCCACAGCAGGACGTTGGAAAAGGTCTCACAGAGAAGGGGCCGAATTGTAAAGGCATCTGTCCAGTCCGTTGGGACTGGGGCCCGCTCCCTGGAGGAACCATTGGCGCTGGAGAACGTCAGTAAACAGCTTTGGGGCCAGAATGGTTTCGGGATCTACAGTAGGTTCTGCGAACATGGCCGTTGCTGGATCAGTCAATGAGGAGGTGGCAGCTGCTATAGGAGGTTCTCCCAAGCGGGTAGTGGCGATAGCCTTGAATAGAAGTGAATGGAAGAGTTGGGGCCTAAAAAGGCCGATGAACGAAGGCTGGTCTGGACACAAACCTTCGTCATCAGACCAGACTTGATCAAGGGGTTCGTCTACCTCAGAACCAGAAGTCTGATCGGCTGAGAGTTGGTAATCTGCCTGATCTTGTTCAGAAAGACAATCCTCCAGCTCCCTGGGTTGCACCTGTTGAGGGGTGCCAGGGGAGCATGTACAGTGGTTGGCGGGAGACACTGAGCTAGGCTCTGTCTGATTGCCCTGGTTATGATGGCTTCCAAGGCCTCAGCCATGGGGGGAGGTGGAAGCGCCTGAGCTGGAGCTGGGTCAGAGGCAGGTGGTGGAGCCGGAGCCCGCTGTTGTAATGAGGTATCAGGATCCAGAAGAGTCTGGAATACCAGAAAGCTGTCTGGGGCTGGATCTATGGGAGGAGCAGCTGAAAGGTCAGGGGATAACTCCCGCGCTGACCTGGAGGAATCCACATTGAGGTTGCAGGCAGGAACCTGTCTGGGGCTAGGACCCTGAGGAACCACCTGAGCCTGAGCCTTAAGGAAGGCTTTTTCTATTGCCTTATGTCTCCTTTGATCCTCTTTAGAGGAACAGGAGATGGGGGAGCAGAGGCAGGGTTCTTCCCTCGAGCTCTCTTAGATGGGGGAGGCAAGGCAGATGAACCCTCTAGGGGGTCGCTAATGTACCTGCGCCATTTTGAAATCACTTCAACAGCAAAAAAATTCTGAGGTAAACTTACAGTTGGCTGTAAACAAGTAAAACAGCCCCGAGGCATCCAGAGGAGGAGAGGGCCGGCCTGAAAGGTTGCTAGCCATCCGGCTATTAGCGCGACTAGTGTGCCCGGCAAGGATCCCCTCGAGCCGAGGCAGGCTGCTAGGCAAAGGCCTTTGAATCACAGCCAAGCTCCGTAGATCTTCCTGGGAGCTATAAATTAACAGGAATCTGAAGCCTGTTAAGGCAGTCTGCCAGCAGGCAGATGCAAGCCAATCCCGGCTGTCCGATGGAAAGTAGAGTTGAAAGATGTTGTGAGAGAAATTGGAATGCTGGAAGACACGTCCATCCAGCATAGACCGAGTCGAAGAACTGGAGAAGGCCAGAAGGGCGGAGCCAATTTGATTGGCAGACTCGATCCTATGTATTAGATGGAGCATCTCCCCAGTCTGACTGCCATTTCCCTCCTATCAGGAGAATATGTCTGTCTTCAGCTAGGACTGAGTCAAAAGCTGGGGACCATTGGTGTAGGCATGTCCTCACAGCTTTGACAGACTCAGTCCTATTGGTTAATAGACAAGGACAACCCATTCCTGGATGCTATTCCCACTACAATGGAGAATTATTAAGTAGCGGGTGTACAGTACCCTCTTCCTCAAATAATTTCTCATTCAGTATTCTCTATTTTCTCATTGTGTATCTTTTCATCAAATAGTATTTAAAGGGAATTATCCTTTTGTAAATCAGAAAACACAGCCTACACATCAAAGTTATGATACAAAACGTGTTAATGGAGAGAAAAAATGAGAAAGGATAGAGACAAAGTGATCTGGAGGATATAAGTGATAATTAATGCACACTGATGTATCTTATTCCTAATTTGAAGAAAGTCTGCACCAGGGTTTTAGTATATAGATTTTCTAGTATAAATACAGATGATCTTATCTTTTTATTTATTGAAAAATAAACAGCTAGTATGAAATCACTTTTTTCAGAATTTAAAATCTTGTAAGTGACTGGTGTCACTACAATATTAACTGTTAATTAGTTGATGGAATTTCCCCTACCAAGGATTTGGCAATTCATAATCTGATCTCCTTGAAAATCAGATAAAAATTAGTTGATTTAAATTTATATTGAGTGTATACAGTATTTGGGCCTTCTTAAGAAAAAATGCTTAATAGCAATGTATGAAATGAGGAAAACTAGAGTACCTTCAACAACAAACCTCTTAACATGCTGTTTCTGCATTTATGAGTACATATCACAAAGCATTAACCTGTTCTGAAAGACACAAATATCTTACAACTATTTAATTAGTGATGTTAGTTTTAATGTTTAGGAAAATAAAACTCATGACTATCAGCAGAAAACTGATGCAAAAAGTGTTACTTGTTCAGGTAAGTAATCAAAATTCTTTACCAGTTTTTTCAGATTTTTCTTTCTGTTTTTTTAGTTCTTCACTCTGCAAAACCACCTGCTTGATATGAATATACAACTGGGCAATTTCTTCCTCCTTCAATTCCAGAGTTTCATGCATTTGCCGTTTTGTTTCTGCTATAATCATGCCCTAAAAAAAATGCAGGCACAGATGTAGTCTGTGAGAATTCATAAATATAAAACCTAGGCACAAATGCAGAATACAATTACTACTTTGCTGCTTAAATCACCCACTCTTGAGGTTGCATCAAAATGAGGTGCTGAGAAAAATGTAACATTTATTACACAAATAAAATCTAAAGAAACAAAAAGATAAGGAGAGGAGGAAACTATCTAGAAGTAACTGAAAGAAATATGAATGAACATTGTTATGTCTACGCTTACCCAAAAGAGGTCAGAGGGAATGAAAAAGAGGAATAAGTTATTTCAATAATAATTGTGATAATTATATAACTTTTCATTTTATTACTAGAATTGGTATCACTAAGAAATCATGGCACTTCAAAAATGTACATTGCTTACTTTATCTTGCTCTAACTGTTCTATCAAGTTTTTGCTTTCACGTAGCTGAGTAATGATTTTATTCTTTTCAACCATATGACAATCCTAAGAAACAGAAACAAAATAAACTTTAGAATACTCAAGACCAGTAATTTTCTCACATTCTTCTATTTGGCTATTTTTTTTTTAAAGGAAGAGTCCACTTCTTTCTTAAAATTTACGTTCTAAGTGCTTCAGAATTTCCTCTAGCACTGAAGATTAGCATGAACTTTCCAATTTACATAATAACTATAAATTGTCATAGATATATACCACATTATGGTATATAAATGTTCAATAAAAACTAGATGCATGGAATAAAAAAAATTTGGCATGTGATCGCTGGAAAAAAAATCTATATTTTATAATTTTATAGATTTAAAATTATAATTAACCCAAAAATATTATTTAACATGAACTGCAAATCTATGTATCTTTTTTATATGATGAAGGGATGTAAATATAAATTTGTAACTTTGGCTAAACCCAAGATATATAGCAACACTGATTAATATGATATAGCAATGCCATCATGTGTTATACGCTCTCTTGTACAAAGGTTATTTCAGTATTTTAATTTTGTACTGAAAGTTATTTTTTCAAATACTGATGTCCCTTTGAATTATGTATCAATAATTGAAAAAGGAGAGAGACTTCTGGTGCAACCTGACCAGAAATATTCCCTTCTACTGGATGTTCTATTTTTGTTTTAATTTTATCTGCAGGCCATCTAGCGTCCTCATGGAATCAGACAGTCTTGAAAATATATGTGTGTGTGTGTGTGTATGTATGTTTCTGTATATGTGTATATGTGTATGTGTATGTGTGTGTGTGTGTGTGTGTGTGTGTGTGTGTGTGTGTATATATGTATATATATATATATATACATATACATATACGTGTGTGTGTGTGTGTGTGTGTGTGTGTGTGTGTAGTTAATATTTCGGGTTTCTTCCCGTGTAATTGTGGATATATCCCTAAAAGGGTAGAAGCGACGTTTCGGCAGAATCCCATCTGCCATCATCAGGCTTATGTTAGCAGTCATTTTGCACAAGAAATAAATATTTGACCTCTACAGGGAGGAGTCACAAAATATGGGTGTGTCTGGCTGAAGAGGTCTAAAAAGGCCGAAATAGTGCTATCCCAGTCTCCCATAAGTCACAGAAGAAACAACATAAAATGTCTGACAGGTCTGAAAGTGATGAATAGAGATTTCATCCCACCATGGCCATTTTAACATCTTTCAACATAGGAAAAAACCCTGATTGCAAAAATATCGCACATTTATACCTATGAATCAAAAGAAATAAATATTTGACCTCTACAGGGAGGAGTCACAAAATATGGGTGTGTCTGGCTGAAGAGGTCTAAAAAGGCCGAAATAGTGCTATCCCAGTCTCCCATAAGTCACAGAAGAAACAACATAAAATGTCTGACAGGTCTGAAAGTGATGAATAGAGATTTCATCCCACCATGGCCATTTTAACATCTTTCAACATAGGAAAAAACCTGATTGCAAAAATATCGCACATTTATACCTATGAATCAAAAGAAATAAATATATATATATGACTACTGGCATAAGCCTGATGATGGCAGATGGGATTCTGCCGAAACGTCGCTTCTACCCTTTTAGGGATATATCCACAATTACACGGGAAGAAACCCGAAATATTAACTATACACACATACATACCCGTGAAAACTTACATAAACATATATATATATATATATATATATATATATATATATATATATATACACACGCGTGTCTGTGTATGTATATATTGTATATATATAAATATATATACTGTATTTTCCGGCGTATAAGACGACTGGGCATATAAGACAACCCCCTACTTTTCCTGTTAAAATATAGGGTTTGGGCTATACTCGCCGTATAAGACTACCCCGCTTCCAACGCACACCAAATAAAAATTAAAAAACATCAGATTTGATTTCAATATGGTAATTTTAATTCAAATGCTTATGACATGCAGGTACTTAACAGGAAAACTGTCACTTATAAACATAAGGCTGTTTGTCATCAAACATGTCAACATAAAACAGTGCAATTGGATTAAACTTTTCCTAATTCACTCTAAAGCTGAAAGGAAGGATAAGACAATAAACCCATGGGAGCTGCCATGCTGTTTGTTTTCTAAGCTGTCAACCAAACTGGAACTGATGATGATAGGAGGAAGATAACAAACAATAGAGAGCCAGTGCCGGGCAAGTCCCTGGAGAGTCAGCAACGCCCATCATAACTGCAAGCTATTTTTACAGGTTTTGCTGGCGTGACAGTTTCCCTTTAAAAGTCTTCAAAATCCTCCTGTTTGTCATCTTATATCATAAGTACATCAATGACATCTTGTGATACATTTGTAAGGCAGTCATCATATGGATATAATTCCGTATTAGATGGTGTGGTCTCAGCTTCGGCTTCCTCTTCATCTTGCCACAAGTAGTCGTCCTCCATACCATCTAATGAATTTGATATGCCACATTTCTTGAAAGACTTGATTACTGTTTCTGCATCAATATCATTCCAGGCTTTTATACAAACTTGCACAAAACATCCAACTGTGGAGAACACATTTCCTCCTTTTGTGAATGACTTTTCACCGCTAACCATCCACTCATTCCACGGTTCTCGAATGCAATTTTTAAATGGCTTGTTTAGGCACACATCCAGTGGCTGTACCGATGTCAATCCTGCAGGAATAACTGCCGCATCTGTGTTTATTCTTGCAAGCCTTTGCTTGGTGCTGGGAGTTAAATGAGCCCTGAACATATCCCACACCAGTAGACTACGTTTTTGAATAAGTCCACCTGGTCGCCTGCTCCATACATTATCAAGCCATAGCTTTACCCCTTCTTCATCCATCCAGCCTTTTTCATTCACATGTACAAAACAACCAACAGGGAACTTGAGTTTCGGCATTGTTTTTCTTTTAAAAATAATCATTGGTCTCAGTTTGGAGCCATCAGCTGTGCATGCTAGTACCACTGTAAAATTGGACTTCTCATGTCCTGTTGTTTTAATTAAAATTGTTTTTTCACCTTTTGGATGGACAGTTTTATTTCCAATCATATCAAAATTCATTGGAGTTTCATCCATATTTCCAATACTACTTAACGCATAGCCATGTTTCTTGTGCTGTTTTATTACATATCGATGGAAACTATTTACTTTGGCATCAAAATCTGCAGGTAATTTTTGTGCAATTTTTGTCTTTTGCCTCAGAACCAAATTATGCCTTTCCAAGAATCTAGTACACCAGGATACAGTGGCCTTAAATCTGTTGCTGTGATCTGGGTTAGATTTGGCCCACTGAAGTGCAAACAAACATATTTTATTTCGTGTCACTACATAACCGTTTTGGCGATGCTCATTCACCATGTCTGCTACATGTTTTTCGAGTTCTGGCCAATGTGGGTTGCCTCTTCTTAATGCACACTTACCCCTTGGCATACTCTTTAATGCTTTTACATTTGCTTTCCAGTCCCGAACCATCTTTTCTGTTACTCCATATTGTCTTGCAGCAGCACAGTTATTATGTTCCATGGCAAAGTTTACAACTTTAAGTTTAAAACTGGCTTCATATTTCTTTCTTCTTGCTGGTGGAACCATGATGGGGTCTTGACTGCTATATTTGTATACTATACTGTATGTACTGTTGCTGTACTGTATGTACTGTTGCTGTACTGTAGAGAAAGGTAATGGGCTACGCTACGTGTAGTGGCAAGAGGGCTATTTTGTACCAGGTTTTTTTCCTTCACCCATGCAGCCTTGTCGAGATCGGCACAGCTTCATGAATCTGAGTTGCTGGCGCTGATTGATGACCCTATGGGAGCGCCGACAACATTGACAGGAAGCTGTGCCGATCTAGTCAAGGCTGCATGCTGCTGAATGCTGTAACCAGCTGGTTGCTGAGCGGAGCTTCCCCCAGGAATCAAGGGGGATATTACCGACGCTCCGACTTCCCCAGCTGACCCCCACTGATGGCGAGCCCCACCGATCTGGGGAAGTCGGAGCGTCGATAATATCCCCCTAGATGCCTGGGGGAAGCTCCGTGCAGCAACCAGCTGGTTCCAGCATTCCAAGACGATTCCAAGGAGGTCCATGGTGAAAGTGGCGCCGTGGTCGACCTGGGCCAGCGCCTTGCACACCTGGCTCTGCGTCTCCATTATGAGAAGCTCCATGCGACTTCGCATGTCTCTGCCCCAGTCACGCAGCTCTCGCAATCCGCTCACCAGAGGAGCCATGAAGCGCTCGCACCGCCTTGCCAGATCTTCCTTGTCCTCCTTTCCCCACGGCTTTTCCGGTTGTAATTGCTGCTGTTGCTGCTGCTGCCGCCGAGGCTGCTCCTTCATCTCCGCCCGCCGCACCAGACCCAGCCCGGCCAGCACCGCCGTGGCTCCCGCAGTCCAAGTGACGCCGATCACTGCGACCCACCATCGCCCCAATGGGAAGAACTGCCCGGCAGCGATTCCAAGGAGCCCGAAGCGAACATCCTGGAGCAGTGCGGGCTGGCCCGGAGGCTTAAACCCCGGGAGCCCAGGTGCCGAACCCCGCACACCAGAAAAGACATGACAGCCGGTGCCCAGTTCCTTCTGCAGCTTTCTGGATCGGCGCCCGGGCTTGCAGGCAAAGGGTGTGCGCAGCGCACTTTCCTGGCTTGGCGCCGATGGGAAAGGAAGGAAGGTGACCCAAATTCTGGGGTAGAGTGGGGACGCATTCCTTTCTCGTGGGCCGCACACTGCCTGGCACCTCTTGTAGGTTGGAACTAATTCGGAGTACAGCTTCCCCTCAATGTTGCCGGCGTTCCCGTAGTGTCATCGGTCAGCGCCAGCAACTCAGATTCGGGTACCCGGCGTATAAGATGACCCCCGACTTTTGAGATGATTTTCCTGGGTTAAAAAGTCGTCTTATACGCCGGAAAATACAGTATGAACATCTTAGCTTACGTAGGTAAAACCTGGCTAGAAAGAATATGCACATAAAAGCCTACGAAAAAGAAAAAGAAACATTGTACCTTTACAGGGAGGATACCTGAGAAGAA